AACAAAGCACGATTCAATACAGTTATGATAAAACTTTAAGATTTGATATTCAAACGCGGAGTCATCCTATACACTTCTATAATTTTTCGTTTCCTTAAGGAAAAAAGATCTGCTTCCCGTCCTAAGATGGCGTCATTGGATGACGCCACTCTGTTAACGGGAGCGCAATAGGGAACCGTCTGACGGGACTCTAGACACGGCGATAAAAATATCAATATGCATTTATCGAGGCATTTATCTATTTTATTTTTTATGTATATAATATAGGTATATAATATATTTTATGCACGATGACATTATAATATGACAATTATAACAAAAATTCTTTAAAGTAAACGTCTTTTTATAGCCCGCGGGCGTTATTATGACCCAGCGGGCTATAATGAAACGTCAAAAATTAAAAACAACAATGTTACACCATTTGATATATTCGAAGTAAGTTTTTTCGTATAAAGATTTAGATTTTTCCGGCAGCAGGCCGCAATTTTTCGTCTTTTCAGCTGCTTCCTCAATTTCATTCATCTTTAAACTTTAAAACTGACTGATGTCAGTTGACATTATAATATGACAATTATAACAAAAATTCTTTGACGTAAACGTCTTTAAAAACAATAATATATTAAAAATAATAATATATTAATCGTGCATAAAGTTTTGTATGCCCTTAATACATAAATAACTAATATGTATACCCTGTTGTAAATGACCGATTAATTCCTGTAGAAACCAATTGAAGTATTGGTTGGTATCAATGGGTCTGAATTGGACTTACTGGATTTAATTGGGCGCGATATAAAACAGAAATTGGTTTTTACTGGTATTTTCCATGATGGAAAATACCAGTTAGGATTCTAATGGTTTTTATTGGTTTCGATTGGATAAAGCTACCTATAGGTAATTTCCAATTGAATTCAATTGGGCATTCCCAGTGTAAGATTCGAAAAATCTGCTAATTGGTTATTCCCAATACAATACAAATATCGCAAGAGGGCTCTCGTGTAGCTGCGCAAAATCAACGAGGTTGAGACGCCATCATAAAGAAAAAACGTCTTTGGACGCCATTTATTAGCGGTTTATTTTATTAGTCGATTTCAGTGTTAAGTGCCTAGTGTTAGTAGTCTACTTATATATTAAAAAAATGTTTATATGTGTAACATTACATTTCAGTGTTAAGTGCCTAGTGTAAGTAGTCTACTTATATATTAAAAAAATGTTTATATGTGTAACATTACATTGTGTAAGATTTAGGGATTTAGGCGATAGTAAGTTATATGTATTAATACATACATATATCACAAAAAAATAATAAATAAATAAAATTACTTAGTAACAATAAATTTTTTGTCTCTTCTGTAAAAAATGAATTCTGATTTTTACCCGGTTATCCTTCTGGGATCTAAAATTATTTTTGAATGAAAAATAAACTGGTAGGTATTTTCTAATCCAAATTTTAAAAAATTAATTGGTTTAAATTGGTTGGAATGGGTTTGGTGCTATGAATTACCAATTCATTCCATGTGCATTTCTATTGGATTTAGCCAATAGAGACAAGCGTAGGCATGGATTGGTATTTTCCAATTCAAGCCGCTGACTTCATTGGAAATTACCAATAGGAATTCAACTGGAATGAATTGGTGATTCATAGCGCCAAAACACATTTCAAACCAATTCAAACCAATTGCTTATTTTTTATTGGATTCTATTGGTATTTCCCAATTCAAGCCGCTGACTTCATTGGAAATTACCAATAGGAATTCAACTGGAATGAATTGGTGATTCATAGCGCCAAAACACATTTCAAACCATTTAAAACCAATTCAAACCAATTACTTATTTTTTATTGGTTTCTATTGGTCATTTACAATAGGGTATGCCTATGCTTAATAAAACAATCATTGATTTATAATAAATTTCCTAATTATAATAATTTTAAGGGACTGTCTACAGTTCCTACCAGTAGGAACTTAAGTCAAAAGTTACTACCAGTCGGAAATTCTGTTATGGACGCCAAAGTTACTACCACCTGTTTAGATTAGAAATGGCCTATTTGGGAAATAATGTTCAAATCTTTACTTGTTCTGCACAAAAAAAAAACATTTTATAAAAATCTTTGGAAAACTTATTTTATTACAATAATGTTTTATCATTGAGTAAAGTATTACTTAATGGTCTAATATTATATACCTACAAGCGTTATAATTTATAACGCTTTATAACTTATAAATGAAAAATTGAATCAAACATATTTTTTCATTATTGTACTTATAAAGAAGTTTTACTAATTTTATAAGAAAGATTATTTCTATAATAACTAGGTATAGTTTTGTTATCTTTGCTAAAAGGCTTAAATTCAAAATATATATTTAACAACAAACATTTATTTAGTAAAAACAAAAATAAAATGTAACTTAAACATAAAAAATATATCCTTTTTAACTACAGGTTGTAAGATGCAACTTAGTGTAAGTGTACAGGGTGATTAAAAAAACTCCTGCACTAAAGTTAAAAAGAACAAAATTGTAGGACTTTTTTTATCACCCTATATTAGACATATATATATATATATACATATATGTTATGACTTAAATGATTTTATCAGTTTATGAAAATAGGAACACTTTTCTTTAAATAAGTAAAAGCTGTTTCAAAATCGGATGCTTTTTGAAAATTTTACAGCGATTTTAACACAACCCTATTTTAAAAAATTCCACTTCAATTTGTGAGCAGTTTATTTATAAATAAAATATTAAAGTATCTTGCGATTTAGGTAGGAAATCTAGAAATATATCTCTAGTTTTCTAAATATATTTATATATATATGTATATATATATATATATACATATATGTACCTATATATTATATATACAGGGTGGTCCAGGTTATAGTAGCAATAATTCACCATTCGATAGTCCATCGAAAAATAAGTCGACATGCATGGTAATTTTTTTCTCCAAAACCCCTCCTAAGGGAGATACAGCCCTTCAAAGTTGAGTTTGAAAAAAAAATTTTTTGCCATAACTTTCAGGAAATAAAAGCGTTTTTGACCAAATTTGGTACAAGTACTTATGAAATAGGTACTCGTTACCTGACGTAAGTAACTTTTGTCAAAATTGTCCAGTGACGTAGATACAGGGGGGTTGTTTCACTTTTTCCATTTTTCCATTTTTTACGCCACTGGATATTGGTTTAAATTGACCTATTTTTCTAATTCCTTGTTCAATTTTGAGAAAAAAAGCCACTCTTGTTAAATTTTGATTTAAGGCTTTGTTTACGAGATAATTGAGTTTAAAAAACATACAGTACTGCAAGGTTCAGTTTTAAATATCTTTTTTTTGTCATAACTCTAACTCTAAGATCGCTAAAGCGTTTTTTACCAACTTTGATACATGTACTTAGTAAATAGATAGTATCTATCTATTAGATACTCGTTACTTGACCCAAGTAACTTTTGTCAAAATTGTCCATTGGCGTACATACAGGGGTTGTTTCACTTTTTCCGCCCAGTACCTATTTCATAAGTACTTGTACCAAATTTGGTCAAAAACGCTTTTATTTCCTGAGAGTTATGACAAAAAAAAGATTTTTAAAACTCAACTTTGAAGGGCTGTATCTCCCTTAGGAGGGGTTTTGGAGAAAAAAATTACCATGCATGTCGACTTATTTTTCGATGGACTATCGAATGGTGAATTATTGCTACTATAACCTGGACCACCCTGTATATATATATGTGTGCATAATATATGCGCAGGACTTCAGGATGTGATAGCTCATCCAAAAAGATGAAAAAAGTCGCTATTAACTTACCCTCTAAAATGCACAATTTTCGAGATACAGGGTGTGTAAATTTTAGAAAAAAAATTGTTTTTTTCGGATATCTCCGGAACCATTTATCGTACAAAAAACAGCTTTTGTAAGCATTTTCTACTCATAATAAGCTATGTTTTGTGCCAGAAAATTTTTATTTTTACTTATAATTGGTGGAGATTTTGAAGGGGTAGCGGGTGTTTTCTCCTCAACTTCTACGCCCCTGAAAAAAGTACGGTTTTGAGAGGCCCATTACATCCGCCAATGTTTTCTACACAAAAAAGGTACTCTTTGTCATAAGCTCTAAAATTGACCGTTTTCAAGAAAAATCAACTTTTATGTTTAAAAACATGGTCAATTTAAATTTTTTACTACTTAAACAAAATTTATTTTAACGTTAGAACAAGTAACAAAACCAAACGATAATTGCAAAATTAAAAAAAAATAATAATTCAAAAGTTAAATTAAATGTTGGAAATGTCCACCGTTATTACCTATACACACACAGTATAGACAAAGAACGGGAACCACAGAACACCAAGTTCCTACTGGTAGTAACTCTTGACCAGGTGGCTAAAGTTCCTACCAGTAGGAACTTTAGACTCGGCGACTAAAATTCCTACTGGTAGGAACTGTAGACAGTCCCTAATTTTAATTAATATTATTTTCTGGCTAGAAGCATTTGTAATTTTTAATGGCGGAATATTTAAATTTTCCACACAATTGCATATTCAATATGCAATATGCCATATTGAAACGCAACAGCGCCAGGGCATCGAAGTTGCAGTTGGGACGTAGACGGTTCTATTTTCTAAAATCTCATGTTCTATTGTCTGGAGGTTTACAGATACATGCATCGTAAATGTCTGCAGTCAGGGCAACTTAACCTCATAATAATAATAATAATAACATTGAGTAAAGACTGAGTAAAGACACTTCTTTACTCAATGATAATAACCTATAATAAAATTAAGTTTAAAGTTTCTTGACCGGTCGACAAAGTTATCTCAACCGGTCGAGATACCTACTATGTCGACCGGTCGAGATAGAAAAAAAATTGTGGTCCTTCAGCGCTTCCGTAAATATGAGCTTTGGTTCAGCAGTATAGAAAATCCTATAAAAGCAGGAAAAATAAAAATTTTGAATAAATCGCATGCAACAAATATTACGAATCATAATTTACGATTAAGCATACTGGGTTGCATACTTAAAAAAAACTAACCGCACTTTTTTGGCGCCAAAGTAATTTATTCTTATTTTGATATTCATTTGCGTTTGTTGTTAATTTTAAACGTAAGTTTTACATATTTTTTACTAAGGCTTTAGTAATTTGTTCTATTAATATAGCATGTCCACACCAGAATTCAATGAAGAACATTTACCAGATTTGCTACCACTTTACTACAAAAGATTATTCCCCCATGCAAATTTCTTTAGATGGTTAAGCTATGGTACTTTATTATTTTAAAGTCTAATAAAAAACGTAAGTAAATAAATAATTTGTAGGGGATGTTAATTCGTTTGCACACCGAGAAGTCTCTTTTACCCTTCTTGGAGATATCTACATTCGTTTCCAGTCATTTGATAGCTATGAAGACTTTGTAAACGAATTACACAAGAAATTCCCCATCAAAATCGATATCGGCGCTGTTTATTTAACAAAACCAAAACATAGAGGCCCGGTAAGCAGTCTAACACCCTTGGAAAAAGAAGTTGTTTTTGATATTGATATGACAGATTACGATGATATAAGAACCTGTTGCTCCGGTACTGATGTGTGTGTAAAATGTTGGAAATTCATGGTGATAGCTTGTAAGATTCTCAATAAAGCTTTAAAGGAAGATTTTGGATTGAACCACACTTTGTGGGTGTTTTCTGGTAGAAGAGGTATTCATTGCTGGGTTTCCGATGTGGAAGCCAGAAAGTTTGATGATAATGTTCGATCCTCCATAGCTGAGTATTTGCAGTTGGTTAAAGGTGGAGCCAATACTATGAAGAAAGTTTCCCTGCCTGGGGATAAAATACACAAATCTATCTTGTAAGTTTATTTAAAAAATTTAAAATAACATAATTGTATGAAAATTTCTTTAGGAGAGCAATAGAAATAATAGATCAATATTTTGATAAGTACATTGTACAGGAACAAGACATTTTGGGTAATGAGGAAAGATTAAATAAATTTTTAAGTGCCATTGATGAAGGTATAAGGCATTTTTTTAAAGAGGAGTTAAAAAAACATGAGACTTCTGAAAAGCGGTGGGAAGCTTTTGAAAGAACATTTTTGGAATTGTCACAAAAAGTAGGTCACCTATTTTAATAATAATAATAATAATAAACTTTATTGGAAATCCAAATGGCTAACGACTTTCTTCTTCCTGCCCAACACCTATTTTATTTTACTATTTTTTCTAATTTATGTAATTTGAATATTTAAGGGTCTAATACCAAGGAACTTAAAAAATTTACGAGAAGAATTAAAATTGCATTATTCCTATCCCAGATTGGATATCAATGTAACAAGAGGTTTAAACCATTTACTTAAAGCTCCATTTTGTGTCCACCCAAAAACTGGAAAAGTTTCAATTCCATTCAACCCAAAACTAATCGATAATTTTGATCCATTTAAAGTACCAACAATAACGTAAGTGTCAGTCTATAAAATTATGTTTATTTGCTTATTTAATATCTTTAGAGTTTTGGTGGACGAAATTAATGCGTACGATAAAAAAACAAAAGAACAAGAAGAATCATTGATGGATGCAGAAGACTCAACCGTTGCAAAAATAAAAATTAAAGACTATAAGAAAACAAGTTTACTAAAAGCTGTCGGAGTTTTTGAAGAGTTTTTACGGAATCTTGAAAAATCATCCAAAGATAAAAAGAATGGTAAGTATTTACGCTGTGACTAGAGGTACGTTAACGTGCCGCGATTCGAAATGTTAAAGGCACCTTAGGTACGTCATAATTTTAAGATTTTATATTACGGTAAAACTAAAACAACCAAAAAAACCAACCCAACACTTTTTAACAAAGGAACAACAAATTTATGAAATAAAAAAAGTTCGACAACTTCTGAGCTATCAATTTGACATCAATTTTATAACGATCGGGAAACAAAAACGGATTATTGCGTTTAACTTTTCGAATCGCGTCACGTTAGCGTGCCTCTAGTCACAGCGAAGTATTTAACGTTTTGTTGGTTAAGTTTTTGTTCATAACCTAATTTTGCCAATCTCTCAAAATAGTTAACTATCTGTCATGGATAAAAAACTATTAAAGAAATTGTTAAAGGAAGACCAAACTAAAGTCGTTTTTTCGCGTAAATACTAAATTACTATTACTATGCCTTAACTATTATCCAAGGTTAAGTTTAATAACCATAATATTTCATGGTATTTACGCGAAAAAAACGACTTAAATCACAGGTCAAGAAATTTGAGCTCAATTTAAATGTGGAAAGGAATAAAAACAAAGGCAAATTTGTTTTAAACAAAAATAATCATGGACAAAAATTAAAAAGTAAAAAAACCACAATAGCACATTTTTTGTTCAGTGTGATGGCGTATTTTCTGAAAGTATTGGACCTGGTATTGAAGCTAAAATAAAAAAAAATACCAAAACTAAAAGGAAATTATGTTTCCACAAATATAAAACTTGATTTTAAAAAGGAAACCAATCTAATTCAACCAGTAATATGGAGTGAATCCGAATTAAATACAAAAACTGAATCTAATGCAGTTTATACAGAAGGATTTTTTAATAATAAAAATCCAAACTTATCAATATGGACTCTTCCAGATTTTCTTTCATTGAATAAAAAAATAACAAATGCAATACTAAAAATCGATATTACTCTTGATTCCATGATGGATGGGGCAGTTGGATAATTTTCTGTAAAAAAATCTGCTAAAATGATTGTTAAAATTGCAAGTTGCAGGTATGAATTTCTGTGCAAATTCTAATGCATTTAAAGAAAAAATAATAAGTTTAACTAAGAATTCTGATGCAAAAACAGGTGTGGCTGTTTTGGGGGGAATTTCTAGCCATTACATATTAAACCCAAACAGGACATTTTTATTGAAATAATTTTTATTTTACTTTCAGGTAATACCACGGATTTTTAATAATTTATTTAGCTTAGCTTGTAAAAATAAAATCCTTTTTACTTAAGATAATTTTATTAATTAATTGTTATCCATTCTGGCACTAGTCATCACAAATCCAACAATCTTTGGTCTAGTTATTATAATAATTTGAATTATGAAATAAGATTAAAATAATACACAAAAAACTTAAACCTAAACTTAAACAGTAAATGCATAATAAAGTTTTTTTGGGTGGAATAAAAAATTACATGGAAGGAATTGTGTGGTCCATTAATTCCTTAATTAAAGATCCAGCCATTCTAAAACAAAATTATTAATTATATTAATTCTTGATTCCTACTAGGGTTGGAGAACTTAATTCACTTTTTGTAATATATTACAATTAACAAAATACAAAGTTAAAAACTGAAATAGTTAAATAAAAAATCAATTTTAAGAACTGTGTCATTTTTCGAATTATTATGTCATAATAATTATTAATAATAATAATTAACAATAATTTCATTACCCTCCAACAAAAAATATTTTATCTACAAATACCATAAGATTTTCTCCTTGCCAATTTAAAATTCCCAAAAAGTGGATAGCACATTCCCAAGCAGCATTTTGAGGCAATATTACTTAATTTAAGGAAATATTTTGTTAAATTAACCTTAAAAAGTTATTTAATAAGTTTTATTTGTTATTTTTACCTATTTTAATATCCCTTAAGTTTCAACACTTTAAAGTATTATGAGGGACGTAATTTTTACGAAAGCAAATTACTTACTAAATTACTAAATGCTATAAAAATTACTAAATTGCTTACGGAACAAAATTACTTATAAGTTTATTTCACCTAAAGGAAAATTTAACGGTAATTTTGAGTTTTAATGCAAATTATTATTATTTTTGACAATTTAAGATATACTTTTTTATTTTACTCTAGGGTGGCTTTTATTATGTTGTAAGTACCATTTTGTAAAATATAAATTAAAAGAACAAAGAAATTACGAATGTCAATGTTTTAGAAAGAGAGCAAACAGTAATAATTGCGTTATTTTTACGTAAATTTGTGATATTTATATTGTTTTTATTACTTTTTATTCTCTTAGTAGATCAAAAAGGTTATTATGTAGGTAAAATAACGAAATAAACCATTCCCCAAATTTGGTAATTTTTGTTATCTATACCGTTTTGGTCAACCATAAAAAATACTTTAAACTTAGTAGTAAATTTGTAGTTATTTAAACTTAAAATGCTGCTTGAGTTGTTCTTGTTAAGTTTATTTTTCTCCATTTTTCCGAAAATATAATAATAAATGCATTGTTGAACTATAGAAGCTCAAAGGCTATTGACCGTAGTCCTACAGCCGAAAATATTAAATGTTAATCAAAATGTTATAAATTAAAGGAGCAAAGCATTTTTTACCCATATTCTGATGCAATTAAATTATAAGTAAAAGTCATTTGATTTAATTTACGAATCATTTAAATTAATTCATTCCCTGTTAAATATAAGTTTTGTACTCACTTTTTAACCATGTGATCATAGATGAATGTGGGAATAACCGTAATAGTGACGACAGTTTTGGCATTGTCGATAATTTTTCTTGTTTCCTTATCCTTCAGTCCAACAACATTTTGTCCGTCGACTTCCAACAATTGGTGTTCAATTAGCACTCCATTTCTCGAAGCAGACGAATCCTTGACGATGCTGACAATTTTTCCGTTTTTAAACTGAAATCCTATGCACCCGGTGCTGTCCTTGTGCAAAGTAATGGTCCTTTCAAAGGGCCTGTCTCTTACGACCACTTTGATTCCGTTCTTGGGTGATTTCCTGATGAGATCGTGGACTTTTTCCATGGAAAATCCGGCCACAATCACGTCGTTTATTTGCAAGATTTGGTCACCAAATCGCAGACCCGCCAGCGCAGCGGGCGATTTGTCTACCACCAGAACAGCAAATATACCTTTGTTTATATCCTTTACTCTCATACCCACGTGGTTTGCCTTGTCTTTGCACAGGGTTAACTCACGGATACCGTGTGTTACGTTGGCGCGCGCCAAACCTACAGAAGAGCCTGATATTGGAGCTATCCACTGAGCATTGTTTCCTGAAGCAGAATCTGCTGTTGTGGCCTGAAACAATAAAACATTCATACCATCAGTTTTATAGGACCTCAGTCAATGGCCTGTTGTAAAACTGTTTTTATCTTCAATCGGTCTATACTAACTTTTTAAGACTCTTTACTATAAAGAGATTAATTATGGCCTAGGTACTTAAAAATGATTTCCCAACCTTTTTTTAGTCGCAACCCTTTTAAGATTTTTTTGAAACATTTATTTTTTATAACATTTGTTATTGCCACAATGTGTACATTGTACAATATTGTATATTTTCGATATGTATTCAAAACAAAATATAAAAAAGTTGTGGAAACGCCGCATGCTAAGCAAATTAAGGGCCTAAAACTATGGGGTAAACTATGGTATCTGAAAAACAGTAATTACAAAAATATTTATAAAACAAAACTTAAGTTTAGATAACGAATGGGTTAAAACCTAAGTAATCAAACCTATTTGTTGAACTTTATTTCAGAAAAGGAAATTTAATTAAAAGATTAAATAAAAAAAATTAATGGCTTTAAAATTTGTTAGTTTTAAAGGAAGAGTTTAAAAACCTTTAAATTAAATTTTTTTAAGTTTATAAAAGGGGTCATTTAAGTATTGCGTAACGCACGTACATTACAGTTTATTACGGCGCGGTGCGGTGCCTGGAGGCCCTGAACATATAGGGGCCTCCAGACAAAGAAAATTTTTAAATAATAAAATAATTATAATTATTAATACACTATTGCACACCTACTAAAATATTTATTTAAACTGTATTTTTACGCAAAATTTATACAATGCAGAATGCCGGCGGCATCCGAACACCTTAAAAGAGAGTGGGGATATTTTGCAGCGGCGACGGGACACCGCAGTGCACCGTTCGAGATCATTTCACTTATAAATGTAAAACCCAAATGTTGCTCGAAGGGGGCAAAATATTACCACTCTCTTTTAATGAGTTTGGATGGACTCGGAACTGTATACCGTGAAAATACGGTATGTAGATTTCTGAAAAATTTTCTGCTATTGTCATTGTAAAAGAAACTTGATTTTTTGGAATCGCAGTATTTAAGTTAAAGAAATTTTGTTTACAAAGATGTGAGGATTTGACTAGGAAATATATTAATCGTTTTCAATATCAATAATATGTTGCTTAATTTAATGAAACATGACCTTAAAAAACCTGATTATGATCTTATTGAATTTATAATTAAATATTATGCGTGTATAGAAGGACTTTTGTAAAGTTTTCATGTTATTTTTACTCTTTTTGTAACGGTGTTTTTTTTAAACGATCTTTTAGTAAATAAAACTAAATAAATCGTATAGTATGAGAGTGAGCAGCGATTGCATGATTCAACACAAGTTCGAAGAAGGGCGTTATATAAACATACTTTTGCTTTTCTGTTTTGTAAATTAAAAAAATATATGTATTTCCATAATTTTTTCTGTAAAGTAATTTTAAAAAGGAAATGTTTGTCTTGAAGGCAAAGGTACAGTGGCCACAAGTAGGATTTGCACCGAGGCTCAATTCTTTTTGGATCCGCCACTGGAGGGGGGTTGCCTCATGTGTTACGTAACACAATATACCATTTAATTTACGGAAAAAAAACAAGTTGGGCAATCCACGGCACAGCTGAAGGTTAAAATAAAAACTACAGCATAATTAATTATTTAAACTAAAAACAACAAAAATTATACATTATATTAAAATTTGTTACATAAAAAAGCCAAAAAATTACGGAATACTTAAATGACCCCAAAGGAGAAAGAAGAGATTTTGAAAAATTAAATTTAATAAAAAACATATTTCTTAATAAATTTAGAATTTTGTAGGCAAGAGTGACTATTGAATATAAATTGTATATTGTAAATGTGTAAGTTTTTGCGTCATCATCATTTGAGCTAGGCGGCCTATTAGGTACCAATTTTAATTAAACAAAACTTATTAATATGGTTTTATAAGTGGATAAGGCGGTTGACCTTGGGTGCGTAGAATGCTCAAATTCGTCTATTCGCCACCAAAGGTTTCGAAGGCATTATCTTCGATTTTGATGAATTTTGGTTGTTTTTCCTATTGAAAAACTCGAAAAAATTTATTTATTTATTTTAATATCCTTACATAGCAAAAATAACGGTTTTATTTTAAAAATAGATCATATTATTTGAATATATTAACTTAAAGCTACAACGAAAAAATAATAGGGTATAAAAATATTTTTTTTATTTATTTATTTATTAAACCCAAAAAGAATACAGGATTCCATAACAGGTACATATCACAGAAAATATGAGTATAAAATATATATACAGAATATAAATACAGAATATAAAAAAGTATAAAATTTATAATACAAAAATAGCGTGTAAATAATATAATCATGTTCTTATATTAATATAATGTTTAACACATGAAGAGAGCTTTCAGAGTGTGCTGTGTTTTTATATGTTCCGGAAGACCATTAAACCATTTTTAAATGGTATTGTGAGTTGTTTCTTGTAAAATATTCGTGGATATCACAGTTTCTTGTTAATTCTACATTCGTACTAATTAAATTATTTTTAATTTTGTATATTATTTTGACACTGTCCATTTTAATTAACTCACTTAGAGTATAATAGTAGGGGTAAAATCATTGTTATCCATTAAAAAAGTGGGTTTGAACTATTAATATTGTTTAAAAAAATGGGATTTTTTTTTTAATTTTTTTGTAAATTTCACAAAAACACCATTTTTAATTAAAAAAAAAATATCTTTTTTATCAATGTTTTAGCTACTTATTTACGAAAATTTAGAATGGAGAAATAATATCTTTTTAAATATCCTTACATAGCAAAAATTACGGTTTTATTTTAAAAATAGAACATATTATTTTAATATATTAACATACGGCTACAACGAAAAAATAATAAGGTATAAAAATATTTTTTTTTATTTATTTATTAAACCCAAAAATAATACAGGATTCCATAACAGGTAGGTACATATCACAGAAAATATGAGTATAAAATATAAATATAGAATTTAAAAAAGTATAAAATATATAATACAAAAATAGCGTGTAAATAATATGATCATGTTCTTTTATTAATATAATACTGTTTAACACACGAAGAGAGCTTTCAGAGTGTGCTGTGTTTTTATATGTTCTGGAAGATCATTAAACCATTTTTAAATGGTATTGTGAGTTGTAAATATTCTAGGAGGTTTGTTGAATAGCAGCTTTAAAATTTTATTTTGAGTGGTTTGGAGAGTTTTTATATCCTTTTGACTTGCATGTCCCCAAAAGGCTGTAAGATACATAAAATGCGAGTTATGTACGCATTATATACAAGATATTTTGTTTTTTGTTTAATAACTTGGAGTTCCTACGAAGACAATAGCTTATTGTTGATATTTTGGCTTTTAGTTTGTTTACATGGTCACTAAAATTTATAGAGCTGTCTAGGGTTAGGCCAAGATACTTTGCTTTTTGTACTTGTTCGAGTTCTGTATAATTATCACATGTTGCTTTTTGTTTGAAGATATTATTATCTTTGGTCCACTCTAATGGTAAATAGGTCACTTTGTGCTTTTTCGAAAATTTCTTGTTCATTTTCTGAATAGAAAAGACCCGTGTCATCAGCAAAGAGTTATATCACATTCAGTCAGATCATTTATATAAATTAGAAAAAGTAATGGTCCCAGTACTGACCCTTGCGGGACTCCAAATCGGATTTTTTCCCAGTCACTTTTCTTGTCTCCAATATATTAATAGTTGTATACTGCCCACGTTTAGTGAAATAGCTGGTGAATATTTTAAGTGCCCCATCATATATTCCAAGGGTCTCGAGTTTTTTCATCAGAATATCCGGACCCACAACGTCAAAGGCCTTGCATGAGTCTAGAAACACAGCCATTACTACCTTTTTCCTAGGTTTCCTAGGTATTTATATATAAATTCAGTTAGGTTGAGGATTGCGGTTTGAGCGCTTCTTTTCTTTTGAAAGCCATTTTGTTAAGTACTCAAAAATTTAATTTTTTCCAGGAAATTTAGTAGTCTCTTGTGCAACACTATCTCAAAAATACGGACGGATGTAGGCCTATAGTTTCCTAATTCAGTTTTACTGCCTTGTTGAATGGACTTTGGCAAGTCGTTTGTGTAACACAAATTGTGTTTCTTTAGGGCAGGATCAGGGTGTGGTTGATACTGCCTATATATTTTTCTTTTGTTTTTGATAGGGGTAATAATAGGTGGTGGAAGATTGTAACGAAAAAAGGCGTACATTTTTGGATTGAATTAGAAAGCCAGTAGTTGTTAAAGGTATCAATACTGTTATTGCTTATAGGAGTGTGGTTCATTTGGATGTTATGTCTCAAGAGTTCGATGTTAATGTACTTAATTTTGCCTTTGTTAAAGTTTAGTTTAGTATGGGTCTTCAGTAACAATGGGGGCCTCCAGATTAATTTTTATTAGAAGTGATACATTGTCTTAATCTGCAGTCGGGCAACAAGTCGATTCCAGTGATGTTGTTTGTTAGATTATTAGAGTATAATAGTAGGGGTAACATCATTATTGTTATCCATAAAAAAGTGGGTTTAAACTATTAAGGAAAGCTTTTAGTTTGCTTCTGTTGGCACTACTTAGGTTAAAGTCCCCACTAATAAGAGCATACTGGTCCGGTTTTGACCACGAGTAAGTAAGGTTGTGTGTTTCTTCTACGGCGGTAAAAAGAAGAAAATAAAATAAGTCTTTTTCCTTTTATGCTTTGCTCCTGTTTACCATATCATATTTAGAAAAAATTAAGTACATAAATAATTTTATTGGCCTTGGCGATGAGTGGTCAAGGCACACCACCTTCTGATTCAGGGGGTGGTAGAGCTTATGATATTAAAAGAATATGTGATCTCCTTTTCAAATCGCCCAGCACACAAGATGCTGTAAAATGCTTAGTTGAACTATCGCAAATGAACTCGATTCCATCCTTAAAGGATACAGACTTTCTATCGCAAATAGACTGTAATGAAGACATAAAAAATGAAGTAA